TTTTTTTTCTTATTTCAAGAATCTTACCAAGTAAAATTTTCTGACTCCACTGGCAGAAAATTTTTACTCATTTTGAGTCAAATTTTCAGACAAATAAGACAAATAATCTTACACATTCTGAAAACAAGATGATTATTCTTACACAATCAGTTCTTGTTTAGTAAATCAGTCTCAAAACAAGATCAAAAAGACATTTTGGCTGATATAAGATTTTATAACTTGGTTAGGTGGACAGTTTTTCAGTGTTTCTGGTGTGTTTTTATTATATTCACTTCAATCCTGCAGCTACATTTCCCCTCCTTCTCTAAAGTTTTTAAACTAAGTCTGGACTATGATTTGTCTTGTTTTCGATGATTTGACATCAGTTTTATTTGATTTAATTGAGGCAATGGAGCCAGGAAACGGTTGATTCCTGTTACTTTCTGTATTTCTCTGCTTTGTGTGTTTTTGTGTGAGAGGCCACTTGGTTTCAAGCATCATTTCCCCCCACTGTAACTTATTGATTTTATTTTATTTTTTACTTTATTCATGTCTTCATGTTTTCATTTTTGGTAGATCTATGGCATTCTGACAATGAGCAGGCGCACTCAGTTATTGGAACAGCTGCAGTTTGTCCAGTTGAAATGCACACCTCGAGGTTAGAGACTGTTTCCTTTCGCCTCACTGTGCTGCATCACCCTCTCTGCTTGTCTGTGTCTTCCTGCCTGCACACACACACAGACACACACAGACACACACACACACAGAAACACACAATCCGGTGGTGGTGTTGGAGTCTGAAGGGTCACAAACCTCACCTGAGGTGTATATTTGGGAACGTTGGGTGTGTGTGAGTGGAGGTGAAGGGTGAGACTGCAGAAGTGGTTTTACAGGTTGTGTTTTTAAAAAATGAGGGTACACGTTATTAGCAGAGTGAGCACACACAGGTCCACGCTGACATCTCGAACATTGTGAGGAAAGTGTGCGCGCTCTTCAAAGGCTTCTCCACTAATCTGACTCACGCAGTCGAACACCCAAATGTTTCATGTTAGCAGTTCTCACTTCGTCTTTCTCTTTCCTGCAGGCGAAAGTCAGCTTAAACAGCCCCGTTTAAACTTAGACCCTCCTGACAAGTTAATGAACTGGGAGGGTGTGTCTGTACATGACAGGTGCCGAGAGTCTTCAAAACACACACACAAACACACACACACAACCTGGACTTATGGAGTTTGGCTTATACTGCTGAAACACAGCTACAAAGTTCACCACTGCTCTCTCATCTCCCCCACTTGTGTTTTTTTCTTTTATTTCTTTTTTTGGACGTGTAAAAAAACATTTAACGCAGAAAAAGAAAGGCCCCATGACACCCATATTGCTCCATGTGTGTTTTTTCCACGTGGGTTGAAGAGCTGGTCACTTGCAGAAGAAGAAGGAAAAAAAAACGATGACGCAAAGTAGAAGTTGACTCATATCCTCGATTTAATTTAAAAAATAGTTTTTGGCTTGGCATATTGTAGCAGATGTAATTAATTATTAAAATGGAAGATACATATTTTTAACTTGACAAAAAATATGAGCAAATTATTTTTTTATTCAGTAAACCTCTTGGTTTCTGATAAAATGTTGGAAAATAAATGCAGTCATAAAATTAGTATTTATTTTCATTTAATAATTCTAATCATTTTGGGGTTTATATAGCCCCTCTGCTGCTTTTTTAAATTTTTTTAATCTTTTTTTTTACTAGAATACCCAAATTTGTAGACGTAATACAAAATATAAACAGGTAAGTCAGGGATGAACACATAAATACAAAAAAATTACTAAAACCATTAATTTTAGAGCATAAAGCAGCTGTTTTAACAGCATATTTCACAGCTATAATTTAATTATGTCAGGGGCCTTAGAAGTGTGCGCATGCGCAACGAGGGACATTTCTTTCATTACTGAGGCTGTTTTCAAAGTGAAGGCAATTATTTTATGTTGAAACCGTTTGTTAAGGGGGAGACAGTCTTATCAAGTTACAGTACTTTATTTTTTTTTTATTTTTATTTTTATTTATTTTTTGTTTAAGCTGGACTGAAGCTAAGTAAAATTTAATTTCTTGGCCGAGGGCGAGTGTGTGAGTCCGTTTGGATGCAGGGACGTGAGGGAGCCTGTCCCGTACAGTATCTGAGTGGAAGCAGAAGTTGATGGTTGTGTGTCAGCGGCTCCTGGGCGTCGGTGTTAATAGTTTTCTGCTCCGAGCGCGCGCGCTCTCAGCGGGTGCGCGCATGCGTCGACGCAGGTGTTAAAAGGTTTGATGGAGAGAAAAAAAGAAAACACGGTGTTTTGTTGCTGTGACGGTGGCAGAATGAAATCAGAACGGGTAAACTCAAGACGACATGAGTCTGAGTCCGTTTAGAGGAAACATCTCTCTCCTGTGTGCTTGAGAGTGTAGGGAGATTAGTATCCAACACCACCATGGGGTTCTATTATTTTTTAATGTTATCTCATCTGCTTTGCCATCTGACTAACCCACCTAACACAAATATGTATGGGATCAATCTTGTGCCAGCAGGAACTGAATTTGAATTGCCCAGATTGAATCATATGCACATAATTTGAAATACAATGCACTGGTTTGAAAATAAATTTCACTGAATTGAAGCTGAGTTTAAAGTTTTGAATTTGAATTAATTTGCTTTGAAACTGTATTTTGGTTTATTAAAAATTCAGTTTGACTACTTTCACTTTCAGTTCCATAATTCAGATTTTTGTGTCACATCCTGGTCCTTGAGAAAGCCAGGCAGAGTAATCAAACACAGATCCACAGATTTACGTTTCACTGCGGTGAAGTTTTCTTTGATGCAATCCACCGTAAAAGTGACAAAAACAAACAGTTATTTTATTGCAGTGATTAATTTTACCTATATGTAGAAAATGTTACATCATGGATCACATATTGATCAGATGCTGCTGCTGACTGATCCATGACAGGATGTAAATGTAACATTGTCTAAAGGTAAAAGAAAAATAAATCACTACAGTAAAATAGCTGTCTGTTTTTGTCACTTTTACAGTGGACCACATCAACTC